ATGCGGGTTCGTGGCCGGAACCGCCGCCGGTCACGATTGAGACTTTGTTTGCTCTGCGGGGCGCATCTGGACGGCGGAAAATGATCTTATTCTGTCGGTCCAGGGCCAGAGATGGGTTTGTGAGTGTAAGCGAGTTAAGCGCTGTAAGGACCAGGTGGTTTGGATCGGTGAAGAAATGTTTGGCTGGAAAAGGGTCAGATTTGTGGGGAAGATCTGGGGAGATCAGAGGGTGTGGAGCGTACTCTGCATTGTTGATCAAAAGTGGACAGTTTCGACTAGTAGATGTATTGGACTTTGGATTCCAAAAAAGAAGAGATCACTGGTTTTTGATCGGGATCTCGGGGGACTTTAAATGTTTCTCTAATTAATTCAAGTAAAGGGGACTGTTCGCCGTCGCCAATAGGGTATATGGAGGCTCCCAAGATTCCAAGAGTGTCAAAGCTAGTCGACACCAGCGAGAAGCTCTCGGATTGGATTTGAGAGTGTTTGAAGGCGGGGAAAAAGTGGGTTTAGTCTCTGGGATGATGTTAGTGTTCTTGTATATAGCCAAGTATATTGTTGGAACTTACGTTGGACGGATAGTCGAGAAGTGTGGGAGTACAAGGTACGTGTTCAACTGTAGAGGGCATCCTCTCCCTCTTTAAGGAACCAGAGTACGTACACCGTGTACATCGTACAATGGAGTGAGTATTCTTTTCTTTTTCCCTTTTTTTTTGCAGCTCACATGAACATCGAAGGCCTGGATCTGCGGTTCGGCTTACCCTCTAGGGATATCCCGCCAGGCACCGCATTCCAGAAAGGCGTCTTCTATCGTCCGAATGGGCGGTTTCACCGCCAGAGAACATTCTTAGAATATACAATTCGATGCATCCAGAGCTGTATAATGTACTCTAGTCTACTCTCGCCCGAGTGGACTTTTGTTCGAACCTCAACTGGGTAGGTATGCCGGTATTCCTGGTGCACCTACCACCTCTTACTTGCTATATACCCGGGGACATTATAGACATTGATGTATTCCTGGCTATCACCGCTTATTGATTATAGTCTCGGCTTTCATTATGATGTCCTTCGTCGTAATACAATATAGTATCTCAAGGCCAATGCCCATGCCAATTGCCACTATGGCAAATACTGGGATACCGCAAGTCCTAAGTGGAGACATCATGAGACCTTGAAAAACAAGGATCTACGACAAACAAAAGGGGCATCCGGACTCGGATCTGCTGTCAGATCCAGGGGTGTTGTGGAGTCAATATATGTATAGTTCTAGGTCATGGGGTGTTCTTTTGAATATCGTTGATCTCATGGGGTTTATGCTCCAATGGGGTTCGATGGGGTTATAACTGTGGATATCAGATGCATTGGCTGTTACTCCGTACTTTACAACGATTATCCGATATTATCCTAATATCCCATGTTATTCCATCATATTCAATATCCAATATCATCAGTACTGTAGAGCTGGCCCATAGTATGTATACCAGTGGTACGGATTTCCTCTTTGGTCTACCCCTCTATACGAGCTCTTCCCGTATTTTAGTGGCCTTGACTTCGGCTGCTTTGAAGACCATCGGCACTGGCCGAGGTCAAGTACTTTAAGTGGCTTGGTAGGACCGGAGGTACTCCGTTGTGTCTCTAAGAATCAATTGCCGGGAGTTACCTTAGGAATCGGTTATTCTGTTGAAATATCCAGCATCCCATTATACTATCATAGTAAAAATCAAACATAAACCAAATACGAATCTGTGCATTCAGTAAATAAAGTACCTACTCTCATCTCTCAACACGTAAAAATTATGCCTCATGACACGTAGCTGTATTGATTGGTGCCTTCTTTGCGTTCGATGTATTCCTTCTCGATCAACCTAGAGGAGAAGCAAACAATGTTAGACACGATAACCAGGGACAACGAACGGGGTAGTAATGAGGATACATACTTCTCAATCTCTCCCTTAATCTCAGTAGGCTGAAGAACACCCCGACTCTTAGTAGCATTGATAACCTCCGCGATCAGCTCGGCGTGACTGAGTGCTTTGCGGCTCTTCATAATGCGCACGATAGCAGCCTGCGTCTCGAAATGGCGATCGGCCGCAACCCGCTCGTGCGTCGTCTTGGTCTCCTCTTTGGTCTCCTTCAATTGGATCTGGTTGATCTTGATGCGCATTTGCTTGTCGCTGAAACTCGTGTTGTACGAGAATTGGTCGGTGGAGTTCACCTCCTTGCCCTTGGGGGTCTTGGATAAGACTCGGTACTTGGCACATGCGAGAGACTGGAGCGTTCGCTGTAATTCCGGGTCCGCTGTATGTTATATTAGGGAATTGTTCGACTCTTTGGAGTGTAGTAGAGGGATCCACTTACACAATCCGGTCGCTTCTTGGATCTGGGCGTACTGCATGCTCTCGCCATCGGGAATATCGTTAAATAGCAGCAGTACAATCGCCTGGAATGAGCTGACTACTAGGTTCTTCTTGCCGAGGGGGAAGTTTGCGGTCAGCTGGCAGTGCGCTAGTTGATGCTTCCAGGTGAGCTTGCGCCCTGTGTGTTTGTTGTGGTAGAACGTCTCAAATTTGCTAATTGAGCGTGCGATCTTCGAGGGAATCCGTACGGGGACATCGGGATATGTTGGCCAGGAGGCGGCAGAAAGCACGTTCACTTCGAATTCGAACCGGCCCTTCCGCTCCTCCTGCAGCGACCGTTTGAAGGCCGTCATTTCATCGTTAGCAGTGTCCATATCGTTGAACATGGACTCGAGGTTGTGAGTGAAATTTGACCCGCATTCTGGTCAAACATTAGTCGAAGCGCATAAAAGTAGGACCTTCGATGCGACAAACCGTTCTTCAAACGAGCTAACATGCTCTTTTCCGCATCGTTGCTTGCGCTTCGTTTCATCAAGAGACGCCGGGCAAGGTCGTTCTTGTAAAAGGCTTCAAAGACAGCCTTTCCATGTACGAACCGGAAGAGGTCGAGAACTTGATCAAGCTGTCGGTCAAGCTCTGCATCGTCGGACATCAGGCTTAGTTCCTCTGGATTACGGCCGGGTGGCAGTTTATAGCCCCCCTTAAGCAGCCTATCCACGTATTTGGCGATCATTTCACCTGACTTCGGGTTGTCGGTGCCACCTGTAGAGTCCATCTTCTTTCCACGGTTCATAAAGGCACCAAAGGCTTCGCGAACCGTGTGGCCCAATTCCTCATTCGATTCGAAAGCGTTGACCCATATATCATGAACCTTTTGCTTAAATTGAAGCAGGTGAATGACCATGTCAGCCTCCCTTTCTTGATCAAACACGATACCCTCGCCCTCCTCGATAATGTACTTCCTAAATGCAGGCTTCAATTGGAGGCTCAAATCTCGTCGGTTAAGCAAACCGTATAGTCGTTTCAAGGCGGTCTTATTGTCGGCTCGCATCAAACCAAGCACTTCTTTTTCGCTGGTCAATACGTCCGTTTGCTGTGTAACTAGAGTCTCATCCAGAAGCTCGGACAGTTTGAGCTTCGTGCTTCGATTGAAAGAGAACAGCCCGCACCGTTCTACTTCACGTTCGATCAACTGGTAAGCATTCTCAACGTATGCAGCCAAGGATCCTGCTGCTTGTTGTTGAGACCACTCCTTCACAAACTCCTCGGACTTGGTCATGAATAAAGGCTCAAAGTCGCTCCCATAAACGTCGAGGCTATGGAAAAGCTCCATGGCCTCTCTAAGCAGGGATGGATCTGATAATTCCTTTGTTAATCCGCCTCGATCCGCCTCGATCAAATCATATGCTCCCTTCAGAATCTTTGGTTTCAGGCTGGTGTCGGAGAAAATGTATGACTGGAATTGAATCAATCCCATTTCGCGGATCACCGGTTGTTCTTTGGAATGCAGGAGGAATGACTGGTCGAGATAATAGAAGATCCAGCGAACAGTAACCTGGGGAAAGAGGAACAGTTAGCTGTGAACTCCATTCGCGATATTTCCTTGCCACATACTAGCTTCGAGTGCCAGGCCGACCAAGCCTCAATCACTGCCCGCAATGTATCAACATCAGTGCTACCTCCAGCTCTGGTAACGAGATTCATGCGCATTTTCCCACTGACAAACTCCCTGCACCGATCCTGAAGCTTCTTAGCCAACAAAGCTGCCCGCTCCTGGCGGCACACATTCTCCCCGCCTTTGTATAACTCTTCCAGTGAGCTCTCGGGTTTCCTGCCATCAAAAATAGCCATTAAAGCCGCATCCAACTGCGACCACACCTTATCGAAATACGATTCCTGGTTTAGCCGCGGTCCAGTACGAAGGTTCTTGACAACGAGCTTTTTCGCGCCGGTATGAGGAGAAAAGTTGTTTTGGCGAGTATGAGCGTTCAAGCCTTGGGGTCTGACAGGGCCATTTGACCCAGACAGTCCTCGACCCGGCGCGGCGCCATTCTTAGGCGGGGAACCGGAAATCGGATACATCGTATGGATCTTTTGGGTTGGGGAGAAAAGTGAGGGAGACGGCGACAGTCGAGGACGTTTATGGGCTTGCAGATCAGAGTCCCTCTGGGAGAGGACCTCGGAGATGGTTCGTTGTGATCGCGGCTGCGACGGCTCTCCTTGATCAGAAAGCTTCCTCTTGCCGATCGATTGGCGCTTACCGCTCTGCTCGGTGTCGCCTATCGAGTTCTGCGGCATCTACCCGGTTCAGCCCGACTGGGAGTTTGAGTCGCTCTCGATAGGTTGGAGATGATGGACAAGATGGAAAGTGGATTCGGGAGACGTTTGAGGGGAATTGACGTTGCGCTTGGCTTTGGCTCCGCACGGCGATAAGATACGGAGCTACCAGTTCAACCAGATGATGGCAGATGATGAACTGGAGAAGAACTGGACGTTTATCAAGGGGTTTTATAATACATGCTGAACTTCTACTTGTTTTTGTACACATATCTTAACTCCCTATGTCTTGTTAGGTATGTACAATATTGGTCAACTTGTACAATCGCCTCCCAACGTATTTATCAAGGTGTGAACTATGAACTATCAAAATATATCCGCATTTTCTTCATGATTGTCGAAAGGAAAATGAGAAAGAACCGCAGTTTTCTCCATCTCAGAGCTTGAATGTTCCATCAAACCATCCTTGATACTCTGGATGACAGCCCTGCACCTTTCAAGCTCATCCCCACCCGAAACCCAGCCTAGAGCATCTGTCCCGATTAGATCCCTCATCTCGCCAGTTCCTGTAGTTTCTCTTGTTCTTGGCGATGATCCTCCGAACATTTCTGTATCTCTTTCTCAGAAAAGTGAATTGGACACTCAACAGATCTCGTTGGTGCTCCTTCACCTTCATCCAGAGACATAGGCCAATTCTTGAGGACCTGCAAAATGGCATACTTCAACGAGACAGAGTCTCCCTCCCAGGGAGCCTGTACGTGATGAAAAAGCTTCGCTCGAAGCATGAAGTTTTCGCTTCTAATGGCGTCAAAATGATCCGGCATAGATTTCATGGTCAACGCAGCATAATAGAAATGGACGATCCGTCTTCGCATTGTCTCTTGAACAGTTTCCTGTTCTTCATAGCTGAGTTGATAATGTTGTCTGGCAATTTGAAGTCTGGCTTAGACAATGTCTCGGACAATGGATCGGCCCAATTTTGAAAATGATCGGGGACTCCAGCACATAGACAGAGGGACAGAATGACTGCATGTTGCCAGTCAATGATCCCTACCACGTCGTTAGACGTATTCACCAGGATATTATTAGGCGAAAAGTCCGGATGGGACGTCGAGGTAAGACGCTAACTTTAAATAATCGGCAAGGAGATGTTGGTACGGGATACGTGAGAGGTGCTGAAACTGGTGTATTTCTCGTAGGTATCTTTCGACGCGTAGCCGCGGTTTGCCAAATCTTTCACAGAATTCTATTTCACGCTTAGCGGGTGCTTCGAAGCATGCAGAAAAGGTATTCCCTAGCTCGAAGGGAATACCTCGAAAGAAAACAAGCACTCCTGAATAAAGACTTACATGGGCCACGATCAACGTTTAGAGGCCCGTTCTCGATACCACCATTCATGCTGTGCGGTTGGACCAACGATGATATCATTGTCGTCCGAGACTGGGACAAAGTGTTGTGAGTCGTCGAGATCACGGCAGTGATAAAGACTTCCACTTGCTGGGAAGTGAATATTTATAAACCGCCTCTCTATATCAACAATCTGTCTCATTATTTTGACCCGAGTTTTGGTATCCATAGAGTACCACTAGTCACTTAAGGGTGTTCCTTCAAGTCTTTCAAGTAGAATATATTCAGTTCCAACGGCGTTTGTCTGATCTGGAGAATAAATACGCAAGGACTTTTGGGACTGTGACCCCATGAGCACGCAGAAGTGCGAGTGTAGCAACTTCACTGGCCACTGCATGATGTTTTGGAACAGTAGTATTGTACGGTAGCCTTGCAAGAACTGCATATCCGTCATTGAACGTGACTTGCAAGACACGGTTGAAGCCCCCTTCGGCGAGCTTTGTGATCGAGGCCACGGTACTAAGGTGTCGATCGACAGAATGACAGGCCGTCCTTGCAAGAGCATCCACGTCGAATTGAATATGGCGTTCAGCGCGGCGGAGCTCTTCGTTAAATCTAGATTGACGTAACAAGTCAGCTTATCGCAATTGACGCGTTCAGCAGCTGCCTGCTGTCCTGTCACTCACAAAAAGCGCCTAGAGGTGTACTTGAACAGATCAGATTTACCACTCATAGAGGACATCCTCCTGGGTTATGACTTCGAGTGTCGACTAAATCTCGAAAAGCGTCGCATTTTCAAGCAGATGGCTACCGCGCTCTCCCTTTCGACCCCGGTCAATTAACGCTAGGGATTTAATGAGTTTGATGATTTATAGCGTAGGGGTAGCTTCAATTTGACCAGAAATATAGAGATTTGCAAAGCATGCATAGAGGAATAGCTTCAATTTATAGCACATGGTAACTAACTAGTTATCAGTGTCCAAAGCGGTCTATGATTTAGGCATATTCAGGCATCAACCCTACAGGGGTAGACACAATACAACATACACTGAAGGCTGTTATGCAATTCATGGTCTGCATTCAAGTAATGCAACGCTAGTAAGTACACAATCGTCAATGTAATGTCCATATGTTTTTGATGAAGCTTTGTCTTCTGAAAGAAAAAAAAAAGAGTCTGAGAGTGTGCAAGGGAACTATAAAGAAAGCGTAAACTCATAAAAATAAACCAAAAAAACCAATCAATCAACACGAGGAGGACTCCTCGATTTCTTCCCCATAGGACTGCCGCTTGTTCTAAGAATATCCAATATTAGCTTCTTGCTCCTGTTTCCCCTACTGCACTGTGCAGCTAAGTTGACCAAGGGTGACATACGATCGTCGGCGCTCGCCTTCTTTCCGGAAGCCTTCGATGATCTTGGCCATCTCTTTGCGAGACCCACTAGCGTCGACCTTCCGCCCTCCGAGACTCATACTAACCTTCTCATGTGCGCTAGCCATCAGCAACCGCTTCATGAGAAGATGCCGCATGTTCATACACACATATACGCCGCAGTCGCTGCCGCCGTCTTGTTGGGGTGAGTCGTTGAGATGCAGGAACCTAATGTGCATGTTTAGGAGGTATCCAAATTTGCGAGTCACCGTGTCTGCCTCCCAGACGTTTCCTTGGAATAGCGAGTCATAGTGGAATGCGATGCGGTCGACGACCGAGATCAACAGGAGAGACCAGTGTGTGCCTCCTTCTGCTTGTGAGACGTTGCGGCAGTCGTTGATCGGGAGGAAGACATGGGTGGCTTTAGTGAAGTCCGGGAGTGCTTCACGGAGGGTGCGCGGATCGGGGGTTTGGAGGATCATGAATGACATGCTGGGGCGGAGGAGGATGATATTGGAGGATTGGTATCGTGAAAGAAATTCATGTTCGAGATATCTAGAGCAAGCAAGTCGGAGATCAGTGCCATGTTCGGTGCTGTGAGGTATGTCGGACCGACTCTGGGGACTTACTCCTCCCAAAACGAGATGATCTATGACAAATTAGCTCACATGTCTCAGCTGGAAGGATTGTCTCGCCATTCAAACCCACATTATCTGTGAGCCAGTCGTTCTTAAGAGTCTGCATGTCCTCTCTTGTCACTGCATGTTCGTTAGCCACCTAGAGCCTAGAACCTTTTACTCGCTTCGGGGGGGTTGATTCCATACATCGCACATCGTAATCTATGAGCACCCGAGGACGACTTGTAAGTATCCCATCTTCATATCACCAAGGAGGTAGGTTCCATCCCAAACACTTACAACTCAAAAAGGCATCATCTGGGTTCAACTGCGCAAGTCAGTACTCGCGACGCCAATGTCGAATCAAGCCAAACACTCACCTTATCGCCAAACCGGCCGCGCACCTTGCGCAACATGATGGCAATATGGTATGTGCGTTGAGGTAGATCACAAAACTAAAGTTAATCCACTGGAATATGAACACCGTGAAAGCAGTGGCAAGCTATATACTGCGCCACAATCGAGAACGCGCAATATGTGCTAGGTTCCTAGGTTCCTCAGACAGCCAAGCCAGACCCCACAAATCGCGGTTGAGATAAACGGGGCAGATCTTTGTGCAGAACTTGAGAGTTCAGGATGCCCCGCGCGCGATGTAAGTGGGATGCAACCTGCGACCTTGTTTTAGTGGCAAGTGAAGCCGGAGGCGAAAGAGACGCCGGCAATATCCCGAGCGACAGACTCGAGAGTGTCCCCCGTTTTTGCACTGGCGGAGTGGAAGTGGGACCGGTCGGGACTTCGGGATTGGGCGGCGCTTCGGAGGGGGAGGCCGTTAGCCTTATCGATGGCGGAGAAGGGGAGAGGGGGTGGATGGATTTGAATGCTTGAATGCTAATGCTAATAATGCTAATGCTTGTTTCAATTGCGCTCTATGGACAAAAGCGGGTCGAAGAGTATGCCGAGGATGGCAACGTTCCAAAAGAGTAAGTAAATTAGGCAGCGGCCGTGGTTGAAGATCAGCCAAGTTGGGTAAGTTAGACCGAGGCCGTGGTTCTCGATTGGAATGATGCAATCTCGGGCACAGGAACAGGAGTTATGAAAACACAAGACAAGGGACAAATCTTCAAAAGAACTGGACTCAGGTACTCAAAGCAGGGTTTATCGGGCTACGTCACATGCGGAGTCACATGATGCTACACTATACATATACTACATCATTGGACTATGATTATAGGAAGGATTGCGAGGTACTGTTGATATAGAGGGAATTCAATCATACAGAGTATTTGGATAAGTGTGCAGCAGGATTGATTAAAGAATTTAATTCAGAAGAAAGAGGGGGTATCTAAACGTGCCTCCCAGAGCTCCAGTAGAAGAAGAGTTCAGACCATGCGCTGAGATGGGAGGAAAGGAACTGGGATCAGACGAAATAAACAGAGATCAGAGAAACGCAATGTAAAAAAAAAGAAAATAAACTGAGAAGAACAGAAAAGGAAACGACCATAAATCGTCAGCATGAGATGACGCCGAATGAAGACAAAGCAGATCAAAGCAGCAACATTGCAACTAGTGTAGTCGCTTTTGTTTTGCCCTGGTCTTCAGGGGGTATTATTTGAAGAAATATGAAGACAGATCAGAAAAAAAATCAAGCAAAAGAAACATGGAATATGATCCTGTGATATCCTGTAGTTAGTATGAAACATTTGTTGTTTTAGGTTTTGTGTTTTGTGTTGGTCCTTTTGCAGAATATTTTAAAAACGCTTGGCGAATGAATACATCAGAAACATGGCGTGAGGTTGTTGATTCAGCTGCCGAGTCGGGCAAAATGCTTGTTCCAAATCCACCCAACTGTTCTAGTGGCATCGTCCTGATTGCGAGCAAGCCAGAGCTCGCCCTTCTCGCCTATGACATCGAAGATATCCCCGGAGGCGTAGGTCAGATAGGGATATCCGCCCTCAGTACGAGTATCGATGTTAAAGTCATAAACACTCGCTGCGCAGAACAACGTCGCAGGGCCCATGGGAGGGGGGCTGCGTTCAAAGTGTCCATCCACAACGGTATCACTTGGGACATCCGACATGGGCATCGCGGAGGAGAAGAATCCAGAGTATCGATCAGTCGGGGAGGCCGGCGCATTGCTCGAGTGCGAGGAGCTGTTGATCACATCCTGGAGGAAAGGTGTGTCTAGGCTGAGTCTCGGCAGGCTTGGGAAAGGCTCGATGTCGCTCGTTCTCACAGGGGCAGGAGAGCTGGTGACTTGTTGCAGCAGTTGACTG